GTGTTTGAGAATATAGTCACATAATTTTTACATAACCTCATTTTACTTTTGTGCAAGCTTTGCAATTGAAATACCAGTAAACTATTGAAAGAGCTGTGCCATAGGACACCAAAGAAAGTTAAAATATGGCAGTGCTACATTGCTTTGTTAATAAGCTTGCCACTTAAAGATCAACAAAAATGCTAATAAAATAGAACTGTTCGTTATTGCTGCCTTGTATTGTGACTACGTCAGTATCAGTAGGGAAGAGCTCAGTACTCAAAAATGACAGATAAGTGCTAAATTTTGATAATGTATTGATTGTCCAGGTCACTGGTAGGTTAATAGAGATTACAATAATACTGAGGTAGAAGCATTTTACCTAAATGGAAATGCATAGATATCTTTCACAGTAAATGTTAATATTATTTAAATAACGTTTTTTAAAAAAGGAAATGTTTGAGTACAGCCAAGTGTACAAGAACACAACAGAGCACCAGCATAACTTCTATAGCTTAAAAATTTCTAGAGTAATATTTTGATATGTTTAAGAAAAAGAATCAGCTGACCTACTGAACTCTCAATATTTATAAATAATGAACTGTAAAGAATAAACCAGTGTTGCAAACAATGTTGTTGTCATGATGTGTTTATGGGAGATTTCTTAATGTGTTCTGAAGCTCTTTTCCATCAGAAGAGGTTTGAAGTCTGATGTAATTACAGAATTTTCTATACTGGAAATGAGAAATCAATTACTACAATTATTTTTTAATAGTTATTTCACATAACTTTAATTGTATTCTTTCCTTTTGAAAAGTTGAAGCTGATAGTCTATAATACTTTGATTGATTAGCAGTGTATTTATACATGTTAGAATTGCTACTGATAAAGATGCTCCTGCAACTGAGGTCCTGAGGAGCTCTCTCCCAAATAAACATTTTAGAAAAGAAATGACTGTTTATTCCGCTGGTGAGGGAAGGCATTGCACCTTTGCTACCTCCACATGGAGTACTGAACTATCTCCTTTCCACACTCTAAAAAATGGGAGTTTAGATCATGTCACTCACTTAATGGTGTGTTCCAAACTGTAAAGAAATACATTTTCCTCATTTTGTTCCATCTGTCAAAATAGTGCTTAGGTGTAGACCAGGGAACTGCGAGCTTTTCGCTGAAGTCACTCGAAGAATGACAGCAGTGAGAAGCTTCTGGCTTTCAGACGGGCGCGAGGCCTGTGTGGTTTAGCTCAGATGAAACCTTCTGGCCCCTGGCCAGGCTCTGTGGCGGGCGTTTGCCTGCTGTTGGCTTGCGCCTCTGCCCTGCCTGCTCCAGCACAGAGTATGGAAACAGAGGGCTGGCGTGGGTAGGGCTGGGAAGGTGTTGGTGATGGATGTGTCTCTTTCTCCTGACTGCCGCGGGAGTTGGGAGGAGAGGAGCTGATGTGTCTCCATCTGCTGAACTTTCTTAATAGGTGAATGAAAGGGGCAGCTACTTTAGGATGCAGAACTGATCCAATCATCAGACTGTTTGCAATCCTTCCATATAATTAGGCAGGTGAATGTGTGGGGGTTTTATCCACTTTCAGGCACTGTGATTTCTCTGCCATTTTGCCTGAACCCCACTCGTTTCTGGCCAGCTGTCAAGGCCATCATTTGACTTGCAACCTGTTGGCTCTTGGGCAGTGTCACCCGACACAGGGGCTGCTGCTTTAGGGATCCTCGGTGTAGCAATGGCACACAAAGTTGTTACGATCACAACTTTATTTTAACCTGGACCCCCTGCAGATCGGTTCCTCTTACACAGCTAACACCCCAAACCCTCTGCAGGTTGGGTCATTCGCTAATGTCCTTGATGCTCTGCAGGCCAAGTCCTTTGAACGCATCAGCCCTCGCTTGAGCCCCAGGTACAGACACGTGCATACAGAACAACTTTGCCAGCCCTCAGAGGGAGCAGCCAGAGGGGCAATGCCCCAGGCTCCACAGCCCGGCAGCCGCTGCCGCGGTGCCTCCGCTGCCGCGGTGCCTGCCTGGTGGGTCCCCGCCAGGCCAGGTGCCCGCCGGACCACCTCTGTGAGGAGAGGCACCTACGTGACCAGGCAGGCGCGGGTGATGGTGCACAGGGGGTGGGAGCAGGAGCACCTGTCCCAGGGAGCCAGGGAAATTATGGGGGTGTAGCCATAATGCAGTTGGCTGGCTGGGCTGGCTGGGGCTGAGCTATCATATCTTACAGCCGTTGGAAGCCTGTCCGTGACCTTATTTGTCTGTTAAAATAATTTTATGTTACCGTTTCTGCTAAAGTTTCATTTGAACTTCAGGGGAGTAAGGAAAACGTATAGTGCTTAGAAACCGAAGGATGTGATAACACTGTAATGTGTGTGTGAGCCTGCAAGAGTGGCAGCGCAGGGCCGGCTCGCTGCTCTGCTGTCTGCTGGTCGCCGGTGGGAAGCGCTTGAAGAAAGCGTGTAGAAATAGGGTGATAATAAGGTCACTGTTCTCCTGCTTTACTTTATGGTTTTTACTACTATGAGTGTTGGGGGCTTTTGACTCTTAGGTGTAGTGCTTGCGTGTTTCCATTTAACAGTTCTTGCTGGTCTTTTCCATCAGTTTCTCCAATTTTTTGGAGCCAGTCCCTGCTTTTGGCCTCTGCAACAATCTGGGGCAGTAAGTGGAGAGTCTTAGAACATAATATAGTGTATAATATGCTAGTGTGTGAAACCATGGGGAAACTCAGCTTGGTCCAGTTGAGGAATTCACTTATTTATTCCCATCAAGTCACAGCTGAGCTCCATTTATTCTACATTGCAAATGCTCAAGTGAACTTCATACCCTATCATTGCTTAAAGTGCTTCTAGTGCCACAGTCCTACACAATCTCAAATTTCCTCTTCATTAGTAACAGCCTCTTTCTTAGAAATAAAGTTTCTACAGGAAAATTGAGGTCGAGAAAGCAGACCTTTTGGTGGGCAACAGTTGCAGAACTTCTTGAATCATGATGGACTTGCATAGTAACATGAACATGAATAGTCATTTTAAAAACAAATGGAAGACACCATAGGTTGGGTTTTTTCTTTGGGTACCGAAGAAATGTTTCTGTGATGTGCTGGTGTCTGGTTCTAAGGCAGCCTTTTTGGCTGTATGCAGTTGTGGGGCATAGCAACAGCCTGGTGATAATGCAGTGTGAATACCTGGGTAGATTCTTTGTAATGCCAGGACTAAGGTACAAAACCGGTTGTCTTTGTTAGCGGAATTAATGTTTCCTCTATGCTTTGGACAAATAAAAACCCCAAATTGTGTGTTGTAAGAGTTAGTTGTATGGCCATGGAAAGGAAACAGGCTCCATGTGGAAAAGCAGAGCAAGTTTTGTAGCTAATTATTTAAGGGGGTTTGTGCGTCTCTGAAATATGCTTTGGTAAATGTAGGCTGACACATTTCTAGCAACCAAATTATAAATGAGTGGAAGACCTGAAAACGTCAGTTTTTTCCTTAGGAGCACTTCAGGATTTTTCTTTTTGTTTTTCTGTTCTTTTCCCCCTCATATATTAATTTCTTCTCTTAGGCAAGTTGAATTCCTTTACATGTTTGTGTCTCTGTTTCAGTATACTATTTATCATAGGATATAATTTTTGATACTTCTTGGAAGTGTCAGAGGAAGATTTGATGTACTAATATTTTTATATAAAGAGTGTGCATGCATACCTTTAAAATAACACAGAAAGTAGTAAATCAATTCTTTAAACTTGTTTCTGTGTATATCTTGACGTCAAACCAGTTGTGTGTGTCGTAGTCTTTCACGATTAGCTAAGAAAAACTTTAGGATAATCCTAAGAGTTCAGAAAAAGTGAAATAAATGAACACCTTAAGATGAAGATACCTTGCACAATGCTTCTTGGCAAAGTGTTTGTCACTACTGGATGGCGTGAGAACTCTCCCATGTCAGGTCGCGGGGCAGGGAAAGCACTTGCACTGCTGCTGTTACCTCCTCTGCTCTGGGAGAGAGCTCTGGATGTCAAGTGTCCTGTAGGTTAGGAACGGTAAGTTTTCTAATTGTTTAAATTAACTGGGAATTAATCCATTTTTTATTTGTTTTTCCTGAACTATAACACAGTTAACTCTTTTCCTGGAACTGTATTGCAGTTTACACCCAGCCATGTGTTTCCGAGTCACATGTGGATGCAGCTATGTGCTTATTATCTGATCACTTTGTATTAGTAGGGGCCAAAAGGAAGATTCTTGTGAAAGGCCGGGTTAGCTTTTTTTTTTTTTTAGCATTTTCACATCAACATTGATGTGAGTTTGTACAGTACACTTTGCAGTCTGACATTGCCTAATCTTGACCTTCCTGTGAGCCTGAGACTGTGGAAGAGTCGGTGACTGAGGGACAGTTTTCAGAAACAATGTACCTGGTATAAGCTTGCAGGAGAGAATGGGGGGAGATGGTAGGTACATGGTGTGTGGAGCGTGTGTCTGTATGTGTACCAGACTGGACCAAGAAACTTTCAGCCTTACAGAGGCATAGGTTGAGTGACTAAGGGTACTCTGTCACTGTGTGGATGTATCTTGTCCTTGGAATGTAATTATTATGTACTTATAAATAAAACATGTATTGCCTCACTTGGTACAGCTTCCATGGTGGTGTTACTTTTGTGCAGTGTGTCAGTCAGAAGCACTAAATTTTTTAAAATAATAACACCCTCCACCCCCAGGAATTAAGTGCCATTCTGTGTTTTTAAGCATGTTCATCCCTAAATGTTTTTTAACAATGTAAAATGCTCACTAATGGTAGCATGCTAGCTCTGAAAAAAGCATGTCAGCACAGGGCAGTGCTGAAGCATATACTTAAGTCATATTGAAGTCAATGTAGTTAAACACAAATGTATGTGCTTTCCTGAATCGGTATGTCTATTGTTGGCTGTTATGAAAGTTTTTGTACTCTCCATGAAGGGTGTTTTATTTATTTATTTTTTTTAAAAAGTGAAGCTTGGGAATACTTTAAATATACAAACTGTATTATCTTTTGTTTTGATAGCTGATTGCTGTTTATGATGAGCAAGAAACTCACCATAAGACTGATGGCACCAATGGCAACTTGACGGACAGAAATAGCCCAGACTCTTTTGAGACGGAGGTGGCAGCGCAGCTGGCTGCCTTTCAGCCGATTGGTGGTGAGATTGAAGTGACTCCTTCTGCCCTAAAACTGGGTATGTATGCCTGGCATTGCTATTTCTAATTTTTTTTTAACCAATATATAGTACTTTCTTATTTCTTTTTTCTTTTCTGAGTATGTCTGTAGTCTGATTTTTCTGTATTGAAAAAAATTTTTAGCACCCTATTGTTTTCCTTGTAATTCAGTGAACCCAATTGTAATGACAGGGGTTTTTGAACAGTTGATGCTGAAGGCTGAGCATGGCAAATTTGCACCTGAGCCTTGTATCCTGCTGTATGTTATGCCTGTCCATACAGCTGGGGTCTCTCTTTTAATTCTTTTCTTTGACTGAGTAGGTTGCCGACAAACCATTGTAATCTTCTGAGAGTGGAATAGGTGAAACCTATGAAAAGTATTGTCAAATAACACAGTCATTGAAAAAAAAACCACAGCATTTTTGTTGAGGAACCTGATTCAACAAGCATAAAACTGCTGTGTGCAAATACTTTTACTGATTATCTGAGCTAGTGCTCTGTTTTGAGGGTGGGAGGTGGAAAGAAGGAGATGCTGGTTGCAAACAGTTCAGCTCTTTGCCTTTGCAGAAGTTGCACAGCAGAGTCTGTTTGCCTGTCTGACTTTCAGGTGAGCAAACTGTTATTAGGAGAGGCTTCTGCTTAATTCCCTCTTATATCACGTGAAGTGTTGCTACTCTGTTCTCTCGTGTTGTTTCAGTGTGCCTGGAAGGCCAAGAGTTCAGACACTGGTTTCCAGTTAAAAAGAGCTAGAGTCTTGTACATTGAACACAAAGCAGTTTGAAATACTTTCCTGAGAGCAGGCTAAGCTGTCACCTAGATACTAGACAGAGAAGCTTTCAAAACCAGATTGAAGGTAAATTCTCTTACTACCTGCCTGTAAAGCAGTATTACACCGACAGCATTTAGCAAATGAATAAATAATGCTTAGGAGAGGCTTCTCTGCATCCCTCCACAGCTCATCATTCAACTCAACCCATAATCTTGAGTAGTGCTGGCCGTCTCCGAACAGTGTGCAATAAAACTGAGTGTAAGTGGGTGGAGTAAGGATAGAAATACTGCCTCTAGTTGTGCTACTCCTGCGGAGCAGTCTGATTACAACTTCAGAAATTGAATATTCACTCGTCTGTTTATTTTAATTATATTTTTAAAGGAAAAGGCTGATTAACAAAAACAATGAGCTAGAATTAAATTTCTAATAAAGCTCACTGGATGAGGCTCTGTAACTTCTAACAGAAGTCTGTGCTCATTTCTGTGCCTGATGTAGAAAATCCTGAAATTCGAGCCGCCTGCAAATACTTAGATTCAAATTTCTGTTTTAATGGATCACTTCTGTTTTTTCTATATTCTAGAATATAGAAAAATACTTTTCTATATATAATGCCACACAGGAATTTCTCATAACTAAAAGTTTTGGGAGAATACTTATTCTTGCCATAATTCGTATGTATTTGAGCTGCATTTTTGGTAAGGATGAGGTATGGAAAAGTTTGTGGCTAAAGGTTCAGTGGTTTGCCACTTCATTGCATATTTTTAAATAACACCGTATAAAAACATTTTAGCATGTTTTGGAGAGAAGAGATTGTTCTCCATATAATTCTGAGTCATATTAAAAAAAAAAAAAAATCATTGAGAGTGGTTTCTCTAGCGTACTGTTGTACCTAAATTGAGGATTAGAAAGAAGAGTATTTCAGCCTCGCACAGTTTTATGTAAAACAGTTAAATGCTAGAGCTCTTGAGCTCACCAGTAAGTACTGGGTAGTTCTGTTTTCATAGCATTTATGTAATCCTCTACTACAGAGTGCAAAGGAGATGAAACATAACATGAGAAGAGGAGCCAATTAGGATTCTATTTCATTTTCAGTGCAATACTAATATATATTTGAAGTTAAAATGGGTGCTTGCTGCTTAAAATCGAGAACCTAAATATAACATGTTTGTCTAAATGGTTCTCTTTCAGATTGTTTTATTTTACAACATAAATAAAAGATTTTCTTCTACCTGTCAGTCCTATAAACTCAGTCTGCACTCTGAAATGTAATTGTTTTCTCTTCTGGATTTTTACATCACGGATTACAGTTCTTCAGACTTAATTTTTGGCTTTATCTTTCCTGTACAATTCCCTGGACCTTAAATTATGTTCCTATTTCCACTAGAGGCAAATTGAAAAGTAAATGAAGAAATAGAAGGACAATTTGGTTGCATCGATATCATTGATGCATGAACCACAGTAGTCTGGCTCCCTGTCTAATTATTGAATTGACTCACAGTTGCTAGCAGAAATAAATAATAATAAAAACTTTAAAAAGCTGTTCTTATTTTGAGAGCAAGAAGGTGATTAAATATGTACATAGCAACCAAGTGTTGCTTTCCATGGTAGACCCATGTCTCAGGAGTGGTCATATGCTTACCTTTTAGAGTATTTTTCCAGAATACCTTTAGGAATGAAATGCAGGGAATCTGTTGTTATATAAATTGTCAGATTGTGAAACAATATTGCCTGTTAATTTCTGTTCGATGTTTTGTGTTTTATGAAACAAGATCCACGGTTTTATGCAGAAAAAATGTCCATGTATTGACCTTCACAGAGAACACTTAGAGCTTGATGCTTGATAAGCACATAAAATTAAACACTGTTCTCAAACATGTGAGAATTGGCACAGATTTTAGAAAAGGCACTTGAGATACTCCCTTCAAACTTTTTTTCTTTTTTTTATAACTTGTGTATTTGATCCAGTTAAATTAATTATGTTATACTTAGTCTTAAAGCCTTCACTGGGTAGAAGGAGATGCTGATGATGGAGGAAATACTTTTTTATTGTATGGTTACTTATTTAAGTTTTTTTTTGCGGTTGTTACCCTTTAGAATACTGATCAGCTTGACTCTGAAGTAATAGTTTTCCCATTATGTAGTTAGTTACCCTTATTTTTCCCTTTATCACCTGTAACTTTGAAAGTGAACCAGAATAAAAGCAGTCTTGTATTTGACTTGAAAACTAAAAGTACCTTGTATCTTACATTGCTTCTACATACTAGCAAAATTTTAGAGCAAAAGTAAGTTTGTTATTTTACTTATTATCAAATTACTTTCTTAATACTTGGCATAGATCTCCTTAAAGCAGTCCAGGAATTTATTCAACTATTTGTTTTCTCTTCCCTGAAATCAATGCATCTCCAGTTTTAAAGCTAACTCAGTGTTCTCAAACAGGTGAAATTGTGGGCTCTTATGTTCAATATAAGAAAAATACATGAAGGTGTTAACTGTTTATGAACACAGTATCTGCTGTGTCCCTAACATAAGGTGAGGTGCAAACGTACTTAAGTGCCTCCCTCCTCCCGCTGCAAAGCTGGATTATCAGGTGTTGTTGCTGACAGTATCTGAATTCAGACTGCAAAGTAAGCAATACCTGATAGTTTTTTACAGATGAAAAGGCTTTACTGAAGTTTCTGATACTCAGGGCCAAAATTACCAAGGGGAACAGTCATTCACTTCTGTTTAACTACATAGGTCTCAATTTGGTAGTGGGTTTTGTGTCCTGGTATTTTCCTGTTAAGAATGACTTCCGCAGTGGTGAACGATGAAGTAGTTGTTCCTCCACAATTCACTTTCTCTGTATTCAGGAGATGTAATACTTGCCTCTTGAAATCCGCCATCATCCGTTTGGATGTAGATGAAAACCCAGTGATGATGTCACATATACTTTTGCACAGCCAATGACCATAGGTTTTTTGAGAAGCACCAGTGCTGTCTTCATTCTTGTTTGGATAGGTTGGACAAGTAATGCTGTATCTCAGTAGAAACCTCAACAAAACCTAAAGAGGGGGAAGGGGCATTGCTTATTTTGTTTCTGTTCAGTGAAGATCTTACAAGTATCTTGCCTTTTTTGGTTTAGTGAGCAGGAGACTACTGAAATTAGATTCTGCAGAGGGATCTTGGGTTCAGTTTCACCTCCTGTTCCCCTTCAATTTTTTCCCATAATTTCATTATGGGAAATTTCCCATAATATTCCATAGTTCAGATATAGTGCAAAATAATATCAAGGTTGGCAGGGATTTGTCAATTGTACTCAGTTTCTCCTATCAAAATAAAAAATAAACTTTTAATACTGAAAATCTTGGTGTACAGGTTTCAGATGGCAATGAAATGTCAAAAAAAAAAAAAAAGATCCCCATTTGACAGAAAATGTGATTGGGTTAATACATATCATACTGCAATACAAACGGTAATAAAACAGCTGTTAATATATATTACAAAAGTTGAAGATGCACACAGCTATTTAATGTGTCCAGTCAGCTGTTTAAAACAGTGAAGAAATAATCATCTCATTTTGGTATTTCTTTAGGTAAGCAGAGAACAATGACAAACACTTTTGCTGAACTTGCAGCAGAGAGAACTTGTAAGACTGCTTCTTGTGAGCAGAACTTCCCAGAGTACACTCGTGATGTGGACACTACAACAATTTTCAAAGAACGATACAGGCAACTAAATGCCTAAATAGCTGATATACATTTGAAAAATTGAGATAAACGTCAACATCTCTAACCCCAAATTCTGTCATAAATTCCTCATTGCCATTTTTTATGTTGTTTCTTTGGTATAAAACTGTGGGCAGACAAAACCTTACAATGAACAGTGAAATCACAGTATATCGAATACTGTTCAGCTGCATGACTTTAGCCCATGGTGAATGTAAGGTAACCTACACCCCAGTGAAAAAGTTTATTTTAAGATTCTGTGTCAGAGGTGGTCTTCCAGCTGTCTGACTCCTCAGCCCTCTCCTGCGTGGCATAAAGGCTATTTTATGTTAAGCATCACTTAAGAACTTGTGTGCCCTTAGAAGACTAAACTTAGCCGTTTCACTGGGCCCAGACCGTGACTGACAATTAGGTGTTTTCCTGTAGTTTCCACTTTTTGCTTTCTGGGATTAGATGTAATTTCTAACAGTGTTTCATTTCTGGTCCATATTGTTCTTGCACCTCCTTTGGTCTGAGCTTACATAATCAGACAAAATTATTTTGAACA